ATTCTTTTAATTAGCTTAAACAAAATGTCTTAAATATTCAGCCAATAATTCATTAAATCATTCAATTTGACTATCAGATTACGAGTGACAACTTGAAGAGCTAAGATCTCAAAATCTTGCAAAGCTCTCTAAAAAATGACCTAGTGAATCTCAGATCCTTGTTATATCTTTCACGATTTAATACTTATAGCCGAGAATAAATGTAGCATATTTTGAGAAACGATCAATTACTATCAGAATAGACCCAAGATCACTAACCTTAAGCAGGCTCAATATGAAGTCAAAAGAGATACTTTTCAAGGTCTTGTGGGCACAGGTAGTGGTTCAAGTATACCTATTAGTTTTTTTTTTTTTTTTTAACTTTGTCTTGTTGGCAAACAAGGTAAATCTTTGTATGGTCCATCACATCTTATCACATGTGAGGCCAATAATAGCCTTGTTTTAGTAAAGTCATAGTAAGTTGCCAACTAGAGTGACTCACCCACAATATGTCATAGCATTCCCTCATTAGCATCTATCTCAGACCTTTAGCTTTCGACATAAACAACCAAGGACCCTTTGTCAATAAGATCTCATTTTCTTACTAAAAGTATTTAGACTTTCCTTCTTTTACTAGCTTCATGATGGTATTGGCATGTGGGTCTTTTTTTATATTATCTTTAATTAGCTTGTGAATATTTGTCATGACTTTACTAGCTGTTATTGGGGTGATTTTGCTAAAGGCAGCCAACTTTACCTGTCTACTCAATGTATCTACTGCTTGATTGATTCTTCCAACAATATGCTCAAAACAAAATTTAAATTTGACTAAAAACTCCAACCATTTAGTTTGCTTAGCCATAAGCCTTGGCTAGGTGAAAAAAGGACTAACTGTCAAATTGTTTGTCTTAACTACGAATTATGAAGCCAACAAATAATGCCACCATGCTCTCAAACAATGGATTACTGCTATTCTTTCTTTTGAGCCATATATCTCCTTTCGATTTGCTCATCTTTTGACTTTCAAATACTATCAGGTGCCATTCTTACAAAAAGCACTCATTCAATAGCAAAATCATATGCATCTATTTAAATTTCAAAAGGCTTCTCAAAGTTAGGGAGAGCTAAAATAGTGTCATTCATTATGGCTTCTTTCAAGCCCTCAAAAGCCTCTTAGCATTCACTTATCCAACACCATTTATGCTTTTTTTTCAATAGCTCCATGAGAGCCGTGATTCTATAAGAGTACCCTTCTATAAATCTCTTATAATAGTTGGTCAATCCTAAAAATGAAAAAAGTTTACTGATATTTTTTAGTGTTAGCCACTCCTTGATAGCCCTAACTTTTTTCATGTCCATTCTAATATGACCTTGTTCAATAATATAGCCTGGGAATGGATCCGTGTTTGAGCAAATGCACATTTCTTCCATTTTATCATACAATTGATGGTCTTGTAGTATTTGAAACATAAAACACAGGTGCTCTTCCAAGGTAGAACTACAAACATTTATGTCATCTAAATAGATGATCACAAACTTGTCAAAATAGTCATGAAACACTTAATTCATCAATGTACAAAATGTGGCAGGGGCATTACTCAATCCAAAAGGCATAACAAGAAATTTAAATGCACCATACAATATTACACAAGTGGTTTTTGGCTCATCTCTTTTAGCAATTTTAACCTGATGATAGTCAGATCTGAAGTCTAATATGGAAAAGTATTTAGCCTGGCTTAGTTGATCAAACAAATCTTTAATAAGAGGAATAGGATATTTGTTTCTTATAGTAACTTTATTCAAGGCCCTGTAGTTCACACATAACCGTAAACTCTCATAATATTTTTTTAACAATAGCATGGATGCCCTAAATGGTGCTTTCGATGGTCTAATGAATCCAACTTATAAGAGCTCATCTAATTATTTTCTCAATTTAGCAAACTCTGGTGGAGCCATGTGTTATGGGCCTTTTGTTGACGACTTAACTCTTAGGAGAAGCTTAATTTCATGGTCCATCGATCTTTGAGAAGTAAAACCTTGGGCTAAGATGAAATTACAGAGATAAAAAGTGCAAGATATGACCACGACCATGGCTGCAGTTGAATATCTTAATGACTATAACAATTATCCCTTAAAATGAAAAAATCCTCCATCAGGTGGCAGTAACTTCAACTTTAAAAATGGGAGAAAAATGGCCAAAGTGGATTAACCCTTTAGTGGGGGATCAGATAAGAAATCTTCTGGTCAAGATAATTCCTAACTCAAGGCAAACAATGCATCAAATTTCAAGTTGAAACAACCGCTAGCTTGCTTCTTAGGCTAGGGCCCCATTAGCTGAATTGCACATAAAAGTGCCTTTAATGCGTTGAGAGCCTTTTCTCAAAAGTCTTTCAAAGCATCTAAAATTGTTGAAAAAATTAAGGAAGAGCCAGTAAGGATGGGCTCAATACGGTTCCTCAATGTCCTTCATACCCAACTAAACATGATAAAAAAATAACCTATGAGAGGCCTAATGTATGTGAACTTAGTACTCAATAATAAAACCACAAAGGCTATGGTAGATACGAGTGTAACTGATAACTTTATCATAACAAAAGAGGTAAAAAAATGTGGTCTCAAAGTTAATAAAGGACTATGGGCAAATGAAAATGAATAACTTATCAGCCTTTGCGATTAGTGGAAGCTCCAAAGAGTGTGATTACCAAGTTGGGGCCATGGGAATAGAAATGTAGACTTCACGATTTCCCCCATGGATGACTTTGATGTTATATTAGGATTGGACTTCATGATGTTGGCTCAGGCAATCCCAATCCCCACTGTTAGTTGTCTATTATTCTTGGAGCAACGCCCGTGTGTTGTGCCTGCCACAATCTTCCCTAAGAGTGGGAAGAAAATGATTTTAGCATTACAATTCAAAAAAAAAGGTAAAGAGAGGGGAACCTTTCTATATGGCCATATCGATTTACAAAGATAGGGTTGAGCTAGAACCAATACCCGATGAGGTGCAGAAAGTCTTGGAAGAGTTTAAAAATGTGATACCAGTGTCATGAGCCAACCTTGTATAGGCTATGACCAGGTATAGGATGTTATAAGCTACCCATGTATAGAGTCATGATCGAGTAAAGGTGCTAAAGGGAAGGGTAGATCTCATGTGCTAGAAAAAAGTATCCTCATTTCAAACATTGTAATAGTTCTAGGTAGCATAGATATAAAACCTTTTAAGCCTTTTAGAGGGGTGAGCAGTCAGCATATTATTGGATTGCACGTGCTAGACCACCCATCTAAGGTTACCCCTTTGGCCCTTATGATGGTAGAAAGACTCGATGCTTTTTTTGTACTCATTGTATTATTCTCAATATTAATAAAACACTTTTTATCTTAGGAAACCTCGAAGGTCACCTTGATGTACTCCATTATGTCTCGGTATATCGTTGTGTATTCTTGAGATTAACTTGTGGCTTATTGGTTGCCTATTCAGATATTGAACTATCCTTGGCTGACTTATGTGGAAACATCCATCCAAATGCCTCACAGTTTATTGCCTCATTGGGAGAAAGCTTAGCTCGTGACACATGGTATCAGAGCACAGTTGAGAAGTGTTAAAGAATTGATAAATTGGCTACGAGTGATGGATTTAATGACTAATAGAGGATCGAGGAGCTTGAGGCACGGTGGTTGCCCTAAAAGCTCATGTGGTAACTCATGATTGACTAAGAAAGATTGAGACATCCCAACAAGAGTTGTCCCATACTCTACATAGCTTGGTGAGGCAACCCAACAATATAACAATTACTCACCCCTTCTAAAGTGCTTAAGAGATTTTATAGCTATGCTACCTAGAGCCATTACAATGTTTGAAATGAGAACACTTTTTCCTAGCACATGAGATCTACCCTCCCCTTTCGCACCTCTACCTGATCATGGCCCTATATATAGATGGCTCATGACATCCTATGCTCGGTCATGACCTTATACAAGGTTGGCTTATGACATTTGTCTTGTGTAAGCCACTTATACCTAAGTGTGCAGTTATCATGTGGATGGCCATTCTTAATAGGCTCCCTTCTAAAGACAGGTTGAATGCATGGGGATTGCAACTGATGGGTGCTATATATTGTGTAAACAGGATGATGAATGTAGGAATCACATTTTCTTTATGTGTAGCTATTCTAAGGCAGTGCGGAGGCAGGTCTTACAGCACTGTCAGCTACGAAAGGAAGTTGAAGATCGAGAGAATGAATTTCAGTGGGCAATTGCTAGACTCCGAGGAAGGGCTCTACTCTCTGTTATATTGAGACTGGCTTGGGGAGCTTACATCTATTTGATTTGGAACGAACGGAACAAAAGGCAATTCAAGTCAGAGGAAAGCAACAGTGAACAGATTAAGGAGATAGTCAGGCTAAGAGTAGCTGAATTAAAACATGTTTATTTGGATCAAATGGGACCTAAGCAGAGAGATGTTTCTAATGTAAATAACTGATGTGATACAAATTGTACAAACTGTTTTACAGTAACATTGATTTGCTGCTTCTTGGATGATAAAACTACAATTTATCCACACACAAAAAAAAAAAAAAGCACAAGCAGCTGTTGTTTTAACTTTTAGTTGATCATAGTTTTGCATGTCAGAAAAGAGGTGCATATCAGAAACAACCACGTCACCAATCCCATTTTCATTGCCGTTTGAGAAGGATCCGCAGGCATATAGGAAAGGAAACTCTGAAGCGTCTCTTCTTTGCTTTCCTTACACTAGATTCTGCCATACGGACTGATTGTAGATGAGGCCTTTTACATCACAGCAGCAGTATTACGGACCTTTCAATGGCAGCAGCAGCAGCAGTCTCTTCTATCATTGCTTTATTTCAAATGCTGATCCTTAGCAAGCTGGAAAAAAAAAACTTACTGATCATCAACATAAAATTAGGGAAAAAAAAATCATGCTTCAATATGGGCAATTAAACAAACCTGCCAGCCTGGATTCATTGTATGTTGGGCAGAACAACCTCACAACTTGGGAAGTCTTAAGAACTATGTACACCACCCTCGCCAATAGGAGTGAAAAGGGCTTCAAAATGCGAGTGAATCCCATTTTCCTCCCACACTAATTCATCCCACCAATCCTTTTCGGCTCTAATTCCCCTCAGAGTCTGTTTCAGCTCTGAGTCTTTACAAATCTGCTTCAACTGAGGGCAATCGTAGACACTAATGTATTCAAACAAGAGCCTAGTCTGAGCATCTTCCCAAATATGAACCAATTTAGGAAGATACTGAAGTGTTAAACTTTTGAGTGAAATACAACAAGATTCAGTGACCTCTTCCACAGAAATGATCTTTTCGATTGCTTCACAGTCATCAACCAGCAACTCTTCTAAGTTGGAAATGAATTGCAGCATTGAGCTTTTGAAAACATAAGTCAACTTTGGGCATGCATACAAAGACAAAGTTCGTAAAGCTGCAAAGCTTCCTTTGGGGACAACACCCTTCCAAATGCTTGTCAAACTCCATGAATAATGAATACTTAAGTACTCCAGGCATGGAAATACACTCTCAGTTCCCTCCTCGCTGTCCACAATAGTTTCAAGGTCGGGACATTCACTTATTATACAATATTTCAACTTCTTAATGTTGCCAATCCCAAACTCAGACAGCCTGTGGACGTCAAGATGATGATCTAAATAAAAAGCAGTACATCGAGCCAACACATTAACAATTGCATCAGGTATCTTCTCACTGTTGACAAATCTCAAGCATTGACCGGATATTAGACCATAATTCAGCTCTACATGCTGTGGGACTCGTGATGCATTAAACTTGATGTCAGCGCCAACAACAAATTTGAACTCTGTTAAGCTTTCTTCCTTCCAGGATGCACTATCTCCGAGGAACTGCTCAAGAAACTTGACCTCTGGGAAATAGAAGGAAAGAGAAGTCAACAATTTCAAGTTGATCACTTCCTTAATGAAGGATTCGACACTCTTATTCCACCAATTATCTCCTGGGTACACACTTATGCTTAGTGTTTCCAATGCTTCAAGTCTGGAAATCAATCCAGGTGGCAGCTTAGCATGCTTGCTGTTGGTGCTAGATCCATAGAAGGATACTTCCAAGTAGCTTAGAGAGTCCAGCTCAGCAATCTCTTCAGGTAATTCAATGATCTCCGTGCCCCGAAGATCAAGTACTTGAAGAAGTTTAAGAGATCCAACTTCAGAGGGGAGCTTGACTAGGCGTTCGCAATCACGAAGAATAAGTGTTTCTAGTCTTTCAAGATTTGAAATTGACTTGGGCAAGTACTTGATTCTAGTCTTGGATAGGTTCAACAATTTAAGGAGAGGCATGTTGTGAAAGAAAAGATCGGGTAACACTCTCAGCTGATAGTTCCTTTGCAGAAACAATGTGACAAGTTTAGAGCAACTTGGTTTGTCAGGCAGAGCGGACAACTTATCATTCATCAAAAACATAATCTCGGATTGTTCCCATTCTTCCTCCGTAGGCGGCTCAGTTAGACCTGCAACAACTCTTGATAAATACTGACCATCAGCGCTAGTGGATGAGGATCTATCTTCTGGCTTCAATGGTTTTGAATAAGTTCTCTGCAGAAACTGACAGCCTTCAGTGTCTGATGACAAGATTTCCAACGCTAAATCTCTCATTACATCACGCATTTTGATTAATCGACCACCTTCAGTAGTTTCCAACAGTAAAGCACGTAGAAGAGCATCAAGAATATCATGTCCCCTCTCATATGCATTAGACCAACTTCCAGCAATTAAACCTTCTTGGATGCAATAATCTACAAATTCGCTAGGACTGATCTGTTGATCTTCTGAAAACAAGGCACGATAAAGAAAGCAACTCTTTAAGCTACGAGACTTCAGGCGGTAGAAGCTGAATTTTAATAGCTGGACTAGGTCCTCCATACGAGATTTGACATCTCTACCAGGCTCTGAAAATTCATTCAAAGCATGCTCCCAGACAGGGACATTTTTTTCATCAACCAGGGCCCTTCCAGTAACAATAATTAACAAAGGCAGACCACAACACCCTTCAACTATACCTTTTGCAAAGTGGTTGATACTTGGCAAGTCAACTACCCCACCCACTTGCTCACGGAACAGTGTCCAAGCTTCTTCTTTGGAGAGAGGTTCAATCTGGACCACTCTAATCTCCCCCGCATCATGACAAGCCTTCAATTCTCTAGTTGAAAGTATCATCATGCTACCATTTTCTTGGCTGGGATCAGGAATGCCCATTTCCTGTAGATCAATCCGCTCCCAAACATCGTCCAGCAGAAGCAAAAACTTCTTGCCCTTCAAAATTTGGAATGGTTCAGCATTGGAAGATGCAGGCGGCAACTGCTGTATAATTTGATCTTGTATCTTCCTTCTGCTCCAGTATTTTGAGACTGTCACCCAAATGATCAAATCAAACTTGTGTTTTGTTTTGGGATTATTGACTAATGCTCTCAGCACAGTGGACTTGCCTACCCCACAAACTCCATGAACAGCAAGTTTTCTGACAGTTTCAGTACTGCCCATGCATTCCAAGATCCTTGACACACTGTGCTCAATATTTGTCATTGCAGCTACTCTTGTTTCATATATCTCCTGAACTTCTCCAGTTTGAGAAAGAATCTCAGCCTCTGCTTCATCCATTACTGGAATATCATCTTTTGCTGGAGGAATTGCTGCAACTGGTTCCACTATCTCTCTATTTCTAGGCGTGGATAATGCCAACGTTGAAGCAGGTTCACTCGGTTGACTGACATTTTCCGTCTCTTCAAGATCTTCTTCCTTCTGACGATGAGCAGCCTCCATTTCTATTTCATGGCTAGAGAATGTCCCTTCATTTTCATCGGGAATAATCTCCAGATTTTCTGCTGCCAAAGATGGTACATGTTCTGTTTCAAAAGGAACAAGGCTTGATTAGATTTTGCTCGGGTAAGAAAACTTTTGGCAAAGAAGATATTGTATATTGTCATTGCTACTAAACTACATGCATTAACCTCACCTGTTGCCGACAAGGGTTTCTCAACTGGAGTACTTGTTCTTTCTCTGTTCACTTCAACATCATCAGGTAAGCGTTGTATCTTTCCAAATTCAGGATCACGTTCTGAAATCACTTCTGCTTCATTGATCTCCTCGGCCTTTTCTGGTACAGCTCTCTGATCTTTTTCATATTTAATTGCACGGCTAGACATATCAATTGGTGATGATAATAAGATCTCAATTTTTTTCTCTTTTAGCATTGCTTCCTGCTGTACAGCTTCCTCTCCTTGTTTGCCTGATATTCCAACTTCTACCATAAGCTCACCTTCTCCTTCGGCTTTATCCCTTTTTTTTAACTTCCAAATTGGTGACAACAAAAAGCACAATCAGTATGTTTGTCTTTAAATTAGAACCTAAGAAAATGCGGATAGATAAGAAGGCTGCAAGACAAGGAGAAAATCATGAATCAGACTGTACCTTTTCTATGTCGAACTGCCGAATGGCGGTGTTAAGATCTCCCACCCGACACCCTATATGTTCCCTTTCAGATATCTGTACATTCCTAAGCTTTGGCGTTTCAAGAACTCCATTACAGAAGATCTTCATATTGGGGCAGCATTCCACGGTTACTTCTTCTAAGGATGGGAATACAATATTATCATTTCCTGAGTAGAATCCGGTGAGCTCTGGAAGATCTTTTATCTTCATGGTCGTTAGACAAGGGAAGGAAATCATATATGCTATTTCGTATAGCTTTTCCTCTGTTTCAACAACTTGTACCATGCTCCGACAGTCAATTATCTCAAGACGCCTGAGCTGCACTAGACATCTAGCCACAGAGAGCGATAGTAGATATTTCAAATTACCACAACCATCAACAATCAATGTTCTCAAACTTGGAGCGAAATAAGACGTTGTTGCAAGTTGAATAGGCCATATCCTTTCAATGTTGAGTCTGGACAAGTGCAAGTCCTCCAAGCTGGGGAACACAATCTGTAGATACACATCTTGTTCTATGAACATAACATGTATAAATACAAAAGAAGGTGAAAGAAAGCAATAGCTTTTGATTTCTAGTGAGATGACACGACGGGGCCTTATAGTCACAGGGAAGTTTGGAAAAAAAAAAGACGTGAAAAACGGAAAACCGATATAAATATTAAACATATTTATTTGGTTTGATTTCATTTTCAATCCATAAAATGCATTTGGTTCCGTTTCATTTCAATTTTTGATAACCAAAATACAGGACATTAACTAAAACTTTTATTTAAAATCAAACCAAACGATATCACCCTAAAATTCTGCCAATGAACTGTTTTGCCTAATTATTAGTCCACTTGTAATTGTCCAAAAAATATATTATAAATTACTGCAAGCATGTTACAAAGAAAAAAAAATAGCATGTTGATTATTGATGTGTTTTGAATTCTTTAAAATGAAACTCATACCAATTCCACATAACATTTCACTGGTTAATGCCTTAATGTTATGTGTTTGGACTATTTGTATATATAAATGTAAATATTTATAAAATATAAAACATGAAGCATAAATAATTAAAATTTTAATTTTAATTTATAAGTAACTTAATAATTCTTAGTTGAAATTTTTATTAACTATAGCAATTCAATATATATATATATATATATAGATCTATATATCTGTGAAAATTATAATTAAGCCATTGAATGCTCCATAATAAATAATAAATACCTGTTCATTGAAAAGTGGCTTGGTGCTTGCATTTCCATGCTTCTGCAGGTATGTCTTCTCTTCGGAGCTAAAGCTGATGAGCTGTGGCAGCTCTTGGAGTGTCATGGACTGTAACTGAGAAAACTCATTATTTTCTGTAGCAATATACTGGACTTCCAAACCATTTTGGATGTGAAGTTTCTTCAAATGAGAAAAATCCTCCCCACTATTTAACTCAGTAAGTACATTCTTGATACATTCAAGTTGATCTAGATACAAATCTTCCGTCTTCTCCAACAACATTTCCACCCCATGGCCCAATGAAATGCTTGTATATAACCTGAATTTCAGTGTTCTTGAGTATTCAAACTCACTGGACCAATCCCACGCATCACCACCAATAAAAATCCTGTATCTCTTCAGTGTCTCAATGAACAGGCGTTCTGGAATTATTTGGGCATTAGGAATATGAGCATACAAAGTTGTTAGATGAGACAAATAGTTCAATTCGCCAAGGCTAGCATTTCTTCTTTTACTGCCAAGTGCTTCATCTTCCCATTGAACAAAGCTATTGTCCATGTATAATTCTTCTAACATGGACAATTTCAACAAGACATTTGGTGGGATGATTTCGAGTTTAGTACAATTACTCAAGTCTAACAAATTTAACCGAGTCAATTGTGCTATCTCCCAGGGTAGTGCATTTATATCTGATTGCGCAAGGCTAAGGACTTTTAAATTCTTGAGTCCTCCAATAATGGTTATGTCTTTCAGTGCACACTGATGTAGACGCAAAGTGTGAAGGTTTTTTAGGGGATAAATCGACCCAGGTAGGTATGAAAAATGCATTCCGGTTAAATCCAAGATTTTGAGTCTTTTTGTTTGTTCAAAGAAGGTGGCTGGAATTTTCACGGAATTGTCAGTGGCCATGCAGAAAAGGGAAAGATGGGGACACTTCACCTCATCAGGAAACTCACGTACACGAGGATAACGTAAATTAATCCAACTGCGATTTTCCATCTCCATATAGCCCTGCTCGAGCACAACACCATCTCTCACCAACACATTGTAGTCCCTTGATGCAATTGACATAGCAAAACCCAAAACAATATTATGGATATCAAACCTTTCATTATCATTACTATCGAGCAACAAACAAGACGCTTTGAGCACAGTCACTGCTGTCAGTACACTATCTCTCGCTTCTTCTACTGTCCGGACGAAGCGTAAACATCCCAAACCAAAAGCGTACTTCAGCAAGTCTTCAATGAGCCCGTGATGACCGATAAAACCACAAAGCAAGAAAATCGCTTTAACCTCCTCACTTTCTAAACAATTATAACTCAACTCTATAGCTGAATATAGGTTGCCCGCACCGATACTTCTAAATGAAAGATTCTTCATTTGAAGCAAAGCATTCTTCCATACAAACAAACTTTTGTTTTTCAAAGTAGTTGCAACAGTTGTAATGGCGAGTGGCAGTCCCGCGCATTCCTTTGCTACCTTGATAGCTATAGGCAGTAAATCCCTGCTTTGAACATCGTCACCAGCCGTCTCTTTAAACATATCCCAGGCTTCTTCCTCATTTAAAACATGAACTGCAAAATTTTTCTGGGTACCCATCCCACTTGATAAAACATCAAGAGATCTAGAAGTTAGTATTATCTTGCATCCCTCATGCTCATTTCCAAAAGGAATCCCAACTTCCTTAAGATCTAATCTTGCCCAAATATCATCTAAAACAACAAGAATTTTCCTCTCTTTGCTTAATCTTTCTCGTAGTTGAAGTGCCCTTACAACCATACTTTGTTCCTCAAATTTTAAACCCAATAAGTCCGCAATTTGTGTCTGAATTTCCTTAACATCAGGGGTCACAGTTACAAATGCCATAAGTACGGAATCAATTAAATTTCTCTCCATGACTAGTTGAGCGACTTCTTTGACCAGCGTGGTTTTGCCTACGCCAGCCATACCGTAAACCCCTACAATTTTGATACTATCATCTTGCAGTGCCTCCATGATTCCATTCAAAATCAGCGTCCTTGACCCGAATGCTTTGAAACCTTCAAATGATGCGGCTATGATACCATGTGGGGCGACACGATATGAAACCCTATCAAAATTTCTCTGACTGAGTAGCTTAGAAACAGCCTTCGCCACCTTTTCTGCTTCCATACTAAGCTTGGAACGAGCCCCTAAATTGGGGCACAAGCCAACGAAACACTTTTTCTTTGCTTTTTCTTCATATTCCATTACTTTCCTTACATCTTCAGCGATGATCTTGTCGACAGTAGTCAGCCACCTTTGGACATCATGTTCAATCTTTTCTCCTTTTCTAGTAGCAGCATCAACAGCATGCAGCACTCTTTCTCTAGCTTCCTCCAGGCTCACAACTTTATGCACGAGACTCTTAACATTGTTCTCATGATTGGAAATGCAGTTCATCTGATTTTTAATTGGATCGATCACATACTCCTTTGCTTTGGCGACAATGGAGCTAACGATGTCAATAACAACCGCCATTTTTTTCTTCCAACCACTGTGAAACAAAAGAGAATGAAACAGATTAAACAATTGAGAGAGAAAGAAAAAACGAGATCAGGGAAAAATTGTTGGGAATATTGACTCAAATTTCATAAGAGATCTGTTTGAGATTTGTTAGAGATTTGTTTGGGATTTGTCAGATATTGCTTGATAGACAAAAAAACTTGTAAAAGAAGAATTTCAAGAGAAAGATGATTCTTAATAGACAAGTTTGACTTACAGGAGAAGAATTCTAAGAAGAGAGGGATTTTTAATTGACAAGTTTGTATGGTTATAAATAGGTGAAGTCTTTACAGGGTTAGGTATGAGAAAAAGATGTAAGAGAGTTGTAGAGTTTAGTGGGATAGACATCCTATAGGAGTATTGGGGCTCTATGTCTTATGAGTGTGTATGTTTGTTTGTGAGTGGACTAGAGGAGATTGAGAGGGTCCACATAGGTATGATGTATGGAAACATATGAGTATGTATTTGGTTATATTGAAAGGATGCACAAGGGTTTGGGTATTTGGTTATATTGAAAGGATGCACAAGGGTTTGGGTTTGTGTTTGTTTGGATTGAGAATATTCTATAAAACTAGAGGAAATTGAGAGTGTCTTATGAGTATTGATTGTTGAGTGAGGTTGATGATATGATGTATGTTTGTAATTTTTTATAACTAGTGAATCTTGTTTCTCATCCGTGGATGTAGGTCAGTTGGACCGAATCACGTTAAATTGTTATCTTTTGTGTGTTTGATTTATTGTTTGATTTCGCTTCCGTTGATGTGATTGGATTGGAAGCTTTTAGCCCAACAAAAAAGCGGACTGCATTTCTTTGACGGATCTTTACTGATAAGAAGAAATTTAGGATCAGTTTGACGATAGAAAGTGGAGAGACTCAATAAGCTAAGTCCTCAATTCCATAACAAACAATAGGGAATTCTCTGACTTGAGCTAAACTATGAAAAATCAGAGATAAATTCAAAACTTGAAGGAGTAATGCAAATGCCCCCATTTTCCCCAAAATTTCCTCTTCCGTAAAGGTTTCCTTGTTACTCCAGAAAGCATTCAAACCGTAAGTCTGCAACATATCTTCTTATTTGTCTATTTTTGAAACTACAGGAGAATAAGAGGCTTTTGTTCTCAACTAAGCAGTAGATTGGAGAGGTAAAGGAAGATTAGGGACAGAAGAATCCAGACTTCCGAAAGAAATTCTATATATTTAAAATTTGACATAAAATTGAATTTTTTTAGTAAGATATTAAATTCACAAAAGATATCCAATTAAAAATATGAGGGGGCGTGGCTCTTTAGAAACACAAGTGATGAAAAACCTGTAAATATGACTGGTGCTAATATTCCTCAGAATTTATTGCAAAAATAAAACGCATCATATATATATAATGTTATTTTATCAATTGATTTTTTGTCAAAATTTATTTAATAAATAAAATTTTAAAAAATAACAAAACAACCAAAAAAAAAAAACAAATGAGGTGGAAAGTGAATTTACTAATTAATGAATTAAATAATATTTTTAATAAAATTACATAAATATAAAATTAAATAAATAATAAATATATTTTTTTTATATATACCACAACAAAACTAACATCAAAAATCTTATTTTTATTAAGCTTAATTTTAAAAAAATTTAATCAAATTATCTTGAATTAAAAAAATACATCAAGAATGAATCGAAATCATTAAATACAAATTATTTTATCATTTTTATCTCAATTAATTTTTTTATTACAAAATTATTTATAAAAAGCAATAATAACAAAATTAAAAAAATGAAGCCTCAGAAAGAAAAAACTTTAAAATACAAAAAATTAAAAAATGTTACGTGGACACCTTAAATTCATATCTAATTCAACTTCACTTTTAAAAAAATTTTCAGCCCAATCTTAATTTTTTTTAATTAAAAAAAGCACCTATAATATTAATAAGTTCATTTTGGTTTTATTAACAACTTTTGCTAGGTTTTCAGTTTTATCAAGAAAAAGGAGACACGGTATGTGTCAGTTCAAGAAAAGAGGGATGTGAAAGGAAGAGGAAACGATGGTTCTAGGCAATGTTCGATGGAAGCATTTCACTGACAATTTTCTTTTATTATAATATTATAATTAATCAATTATAATAAAAAATTATGTAAAAATTCGTGAAAGTTTTATGTTATTTTTTAATGAATTTTGTATAATATTAAATTATAATTGATTAATTACATTACATAATTTTTTTTACGTTTGATGTAAAATTTTGATGGAAAGTGATTATATTTGTTTTTTTTTTTGTTACATAAAGAATGAAAAGAGATAAAAAAAAAATGAAAACGAAGATGAATGTGGAAATAATTCGATAAAAGGGTAAAGAAAGTAAAGTCTCATTGGTGACGAGATTAACAATAGTGAAGAGATTGGCACCCTTAACAGTGATGCATGAGAAAAGTAGTGCGAAGGAAGAAAAAGGGCTGCTGGCATTAAATGTAGGGAGACGTTTTGTTGATTTTGTAATCTCCTAAAAACCACGTCGTTTTAAGGGAGGAAGGGAAAAAGCAAATAAAATGGACAAGCCAGACACACCCTAAGGTCCAATTTCATCTATATTAGCCCATTTGACTTGGATCAAACCCAATAGGTCTTCTAATTATTTATTTATTTTGATATTATGTTATTTTTTATTAATTGTAACTTTTTTAATTTATTAATTAAAAATTTATTTTAATAAACTAAATAATAAATTTGGTAATTTAGAAAATCCTAACAAAAAAATTCGTTAAAAGTTATTAATATTTTATTAAAAGTTTCTAAGTGACAAATAATTTCGGGTCCATATCAAAAGTACTACATTGGGAAGACTCTAAATATTATTTTAATAATAGTAATTAATTTTTTATAGTTAAAGTTGTCAAGAAATTCAAATGGTGATTATTAAATTAATTTTAAAAAATCATAAAATATAAAATAAAGATAAAATGAAGAAAATAAAGAAGTAAAAAATGTCTTTATCATCTATAACTTATAATTGTTCTATTTTTTTCTTTCTCTCATTGTTTAAATGTTTTCATAAAAGAATTATCATTTAAAATATATTTAAAAAAATTATACTTCTGATCAAATAACTTATAGTTTAAAAACAAAATAATGAGAAAGCTTACAACGACAATTTAACATCCATATAATACACATATTTAAATATTTTATCATGAATTGCTTAATAAATAAATAGAATTAATTAACTCTATGCGGAGGGTGAATCATATATGTATATGTGTGTGTATATATATTACAACATATAAAAATATCGATAAGATTTGTCATGTGAATGCTAAGATGTATATATTCTTTTTTTGATATATAAACAACTAGTTTTTTTATCCATGCAAATGCACAAAAGTTTTATATTTATAATAATATTTAATTTAATTTATTAAAAATTTATAAAGAATTTTTGTAAATTCAAAATTTTGTTTTTATCACTAATATTTGTATCTTTTCTCTTTTTATTTTTAATTAAATTTATATTTTAATGTTAAAATCTTTGATTTGATTTTTAATTTCATAAATTGAAAGTACAAAATTCCAAAAATAAAAAATATAATTTATTAACAAAATTTTCAAATAACCTTTTGACTTTCATCTTAATTTAAAAAAGTATATTAGTAAATATTTAAGACATTGAAATTTTTAATTAAATTTATTTCATAAATTTAATTTCTTAATGGTAAAAAAAAGAATTTTGCTATATAAAAAAAAGGTTTACATAAAACCCAAATGTAGTAAATATTTATAAATCCCAAGAAATTATAGGAAAAACTTATAATTAAGATAAAGTCTAATTGAAATTTAATAATGAAGCTGATCAAAAGAATGGAGGAATTTAAAATTGAAGATAAAAATGTGATTTAAGAAGTCAAACTGAAAAATGTTCGTCAAATTTGAAACCATTCAAAATTTCATTGATTAAAAAAAAAAAAGGAATGATCAGAAAACTCTATGTAAAATTTTTATCACCATAATAGAATAGAATTTAGAGTAACAACAATAGAACTATATATATATATATATATATATATATTAACCAAAAATTACATGAAAATGAAAATCCTTTTAAAAATAAATCACATACCTTGAGGAAAAAATGTTTTTTTTTTGGTAAAAAAATCCATTGTTTATTCTTATTGATTATATAAATAATTGTAAAAAGAAAGTAAGAATAAGGAAATTTAAGGTAGGAAATGGAGTTTTGAAAAAGAAATATAAATGAAAAAAAATACTTTTAGATGAAAATTTTGAAAAAATCTAAAATGGAATGAGCAAAGAAAAGAGTTTAAAATAGAATAGAATAGCAAAAATCTATTATATTTTCAATTATATATCAAGAATTTTAAAATATAAATAATTGAACATATTTTTATTCATTTATTTAAATGGATGTTTTTATCTACTTATTTAATTGGAGATTTAAAAAATATATTAAGATGGATATTTTTAAGTCCTCAAACCAAAATTTTTAAATAGTAATTCATGCATGCTCCTATCAATCTAAACAAATTTGAATATTTTAAATGGATTTAAATAATATTAAATAAAGTAAATAATCATGTATTCTTTTATCCATTTTCAAATTAATATTTAAATATTTATTATTATTTAATGATTTAGTTTAAATTTTTTTATATTTAATTATTTTGATAATATATATTATAATTATTTATTATTATTCTATAAGTCATCCAAAAAAATTATTCACTTAAGTGACTACGTAAGCAAAACTTATCAAATTTGTATGTATGTTATAATCTAATATTATATATGATACCTATTGTACATAATTCAAATTTAAATATCAAAATTTTCAAAAATAAAATCTTACTCAAATTATGTATGATTAATTTTCTATGATTATTTTTCAAAAACAAAAAATCTTAATAAGTTGTAATACAAATATAAAACTTAAAAAAAATTTAAAAAATCAATCTTATTTAATTAAGATTTCACCAAAAGATATC